CTTTGAATTTTCCTCATCTTCTTATCTATCAGCCACCTTTTCTCCCACGCTCTGCCAAAGGGAAGAGGCCACATGTCCTGTCTCTCCTGGAATTCAGGTTCTGGGATTGCTTGCAGCCTCGGTGGTCTGAGGGCTCAAAAAGGTGACCATTTGACATCGTCCAGCTGTTTCTTGTTGTTAGGGTGGGAGAAACATTCTTCTACATACTCAGTGGAAATCCCAAACTGCTGTATGGTTCAGAACTTGGTTATTTTTAGGATCTCAATGTCAGTTAGCAGAACAATTAACTGATTAAGGCTAGTTCCCCTCCTCGTAAAGGGGAATGTCACATTTCTTTTAAAATTTCCTTGAGAGAAAAGATGGCTTTGTGTTTTTTAATTTCTTTTCTCCCCACAGCAAAACACCTCTTCGTGTCACTGTCATAATAGTAGAACAACCTGAAGTGACATTTATAGGTTGTTTTGATAACAGGTGGCTATTGTATTATTACTCAAATGAGATCTCCCATATCAGTGCATTACAGTGAGGGAGAGAGTTTACGAAGTGAAGCGTAAACAGAGATGAAGAGTAGCACAATGGGGGGAATTCTCTAAATAAGGATATGTGGCTTGTGTGCCAGAGATATATAGGTAACACAGTGCGCTCCTGACCCTTTTGACCACACACTATTTTTAGATACTCAGAATATTCTTTAGTATACTAAAGATGTAGGTCTTTTAAATTCTTCAATTTCATTCCTTCACTGAAATATATTATTAAAAATAATAATAAACCGGCTAACTTGAAACAAGATTCAAGTGAGTTTTTCCTGGGGCTATTTTTTTTTCTTTTTGAGGAAGATTTGCCCTGAGCTAAAAACTGCCAATCCTCCTCATTTTGCTGAGGAAGACTGGCCCTGAGCTAAGGTCCATGCCCATCTTCCTTTACCTTATACGTAGGATGCCTACCACAGCATGTCTGCACCCGGGATCCGGACTGGTGAACCCCAGGCCGCCAAAGCAGAACGTGTGAACTTAACCGCTGCACCACCGGGCCGGCCCCTATTTTTTTTTGTTTATGTAAAGCTGTCTGAAGTCACAGCTTTCTCATATATCACTTGAAAAATTTACAAATCTATCCCTTTTTTATCTTAAACCTGTTGATATCTTTCAACATTTTGTCATGGAAAATTATACAGAAGTAGAAAGAGTATCAGGTACCTCAATGTACCTTTTACTTAACTTTAATATTTATTCATCTATATTCTCACCTGCTGTTCCCCTGTTCAGATTTTGAAGCAAATTTTGACCATAACTCCTATCATATTGTAGTATGTATCTTTAGAGATAAGGATTATCTCTCTCACCTAACCACAATACCATCATCACACCTAGAAAAAATAATTCCTTAATCATATGTTTCTAATTTTTCCAACTCATTGCAAGAGGACTACAGTATAAAGGAATAGTATTATTAACCAAGAATCTAAAGATTTAAGGCGTCTGTGGCTCCTTTCCCTAAATTCAGAGAAAGAATTAGCGTTTGTAACCAAGGAAACAATTAACTATCTCTATTTTTAGCCCTTTAGTTGTACATGCAACTGATAGTGTTTTCTCTTTGTGTTAAAGAAAAAAACATTGCCACCCAAGAAATGGCCGTAATGATTTTTGTGTTAGAAATTGGGGGGGATGAGAGAAATCTTTATTCCACAAATTTTAGAAACTATTGGTTAATGGCTGAAATTTTGGCTTTGTAAAAGATAACAAAGTCTTTCCTTCATGGTAATAATCATCTTCTGTAGTCAATATCCTTGGAAATACATGTGGATGGACAACTGAAACTAGAGCCTGTGAAAGTCTGTGATCAGAACAGGTAAATATGGAAATGCTCCTTGTTTTTCTTTTGCATTTCTATTTGCATTTGGGTCTATTTCAAAGAATAATGGAAGCTTACTGAATCTTTGAAAAGGACCCTGATAAAGAGATATCAACAACTAGAGAAACTAAAGACTCTACCCAGAAAAGCAAGTCATTCCTAAGGATGTCTTTATATTGTTGGGGAAAATGCCCTGAATATTTCTTGTATCAGTTATCTATTGCCACACAACAAATTTCCCCAAAATGTTACAGCTTAAAGCAACATTTATTATCTCCCACCATTTCTGTGGGTCAGAAATCCAGGAGCGGCTTAGCTGGGTGGTTCTGGCTCCAGGTCTCTTATTAGGTTGAGTCAAGGGCTCCGCCAGGCCAGCAGTCTCCGGGATGATTGGGGCTGGAGGATTCACTCCGAGCTCACTTAGCAGCTATTGGCAGGGGGCTTTAGTACCTGGACACGTGGTCCTCTCCACTGGGCTGCTAACAACACGGTTTCCATCAGAGTAATTGATGAGACAGAGACAGAACCAAGACAGAAGCACAGTCCTTTATAATCTAATCTAAGAAGGGACATATCAGTACATCTGGTTAATTCTATTGGTCATCATACTGATCAACCTAGGTATGTTGTGGGAGGGAACAGCACAAAAGTGTGAATACCAGGACAGAGGGATCATTGGGGGCCACTTTGGAGGCTGGCTCCCATAGCCTGCCTCAACCCCCAATGATTCATTGCCTCCCAAGGAACACAAAAGTCACGTCCCATTACAGCATCAGTGCAAAGTCCAGAATCTCATCATCTAAATCAGGTCCAGGTGTGGGTGAGACGACTAGGGTATATGCAGTTCTTAAGTACAGCTCTCCAGCACAGTTTCTCCTGATCTGCAGGCCTGTCAACTAGAGAAGCGTTACTGTTCCCCCCCGCCCCCCAAACAGTGGTGGGATAGACAGGATGAGCCTGTTCAGAAGGACTGAAAATGAGAGACACGGAAGTTCCTGGTCCCTGAGCAGTTCTGAAACCCAACTGGGCAAGTGATAGAAATTCCCTGACTAGAACTGGGTCCTACTCCTGCCAGGAAATGACTTTCCAACGGCTCTTGACTCAGCCCTCGGAGGGCCTGGGCTCACCTTCTGTCATTCTTTTCATGAAAGGTGGCACAGGTTTACAGCAGAGCTGTTTCTTCAGCTTGCTTCCTGCCTGCAGACTTTTGGGGGTCCAAAGGCCTCTTTTATCACTTCTCTCCTTCAGTCCAAGCTGTCCGGGTTACTGCTAATAGAATTGTTTCTAAAACTTGGAGTCTTCTGTGAATCTCATTTTGAGGCATCACCTTTGATATTTCTCAGGTCTTAACAAAGGATCTTACTATTAGACTGTTGGCTTAATCTTTATATCACACTTTCCTGAGAGTACCCTTGATTTGATCTTTGCTCTGAAGCCATTTCTTACTTTTAGCATTATTTGCCACCTGGAAAGGCTGAGAATCTTCCAAACCAGTGAGCCCTGGTTCCTTTTTAAGTCCTTTCTTTAGCTTGTCTCTTTCCTCTCACATTCTACTATGAGCAGCAAGAAGAAACCAGGAAGCCTTTTCAATACTCTGGGTGGAAATATATTTAGCTCGATCACTTAATTCATTTGCTATTTTCCACTTCCCACATAACTGCCGGTGATGGTGTTGCTAGACTTTCTGTCCCTATATAACAAGGATTTCCCTTCCTCCAGTTCCAGTAATATTTACCTCACTTTCCTGCAAGTCCCACCTCCAGCTTTATCAAAGACTACGAGCCTTATATCAACAATTTCAAGGCACTTTACTTTCAGCAACACACTCCTCAAAGCCCACCGCCGGGGTGCAAAGCCACGCCCACATTTTAGGATTTTGTTATGGCAACACCTCACTTACAGATTCCAAAATCTGTATGTTCTCTATTGCTCCCTAACAAATTAACTCAAAACTTGGCCCGTTAAAAGTATTTATTATCTCACTAATCATGAGGGTCAGGAAGCTGGGGGCATTTAGCCAGGTGGTTCAGGCTCAGGGCTCTCACAAAGTAGCCATCAAGCTGTTGGCCGGAGCTGCAGTCTCTGAAGACTTGACTGGGGCTGGAGGTCCAGCTTCAAGCTTTCTCACATTGCTGTTGGCTGGAGGCTTCAGCTCCTCGCACGTGGACCTGTCCAGGAGGCTGCTCACAACACTGGTCACACAAACCCATGCTGACACACTGTGGGAGGCAGGGATCACTGGGGCTACCCCAGAGGCTGCCACATCTTCCAAGTGGCATAATTACTTGGTAGCTTTCACAATAATGTTTCTTAAAAAGGTCCAAAAATGTGGGGTCTTTTGTACATGAGCATAGAAAAGTCTGGCAGGACATACAGAAAACCATGATGTTAGTTATGTTTATTTCTGGGTATTGGGATTATGGGTGATTTTAATTAGTTTTGGTAACTTTGTAAAGTTCTGAAACACTTTCACAATTAATTTATAATCAGGAAAAAAATGTTGCGTATTTTTCAATGTGGGATATTCCAGAGACAAAAAAAAAGGTAAAAGTTGAGAAAACTTATTATTTTCAAACATGCATTAAGCACCTACTATATACTAGGTATTTTTTTTTCTGCTTCTTATTCTTCTTCTCCCCAAAGCCACCCAGTATGAAGTTGGATATTCTAGTTGTGAGTGCCTCTAGTTGTGCTGTGTGGGACACTGCCTCAGCGTAGCCTGATGAGCAGTGCCATGTCTGCACCCCGGATCCGAACTGGCAAAACCCTGGGCCACCGAAGCGGAGTGCACAAACTTAACCACTCAGCCACAGGGCCAGCCCCCTACTAGGTACATTTAAGGGAAAAAAAAGACATAACCTTTACCTTTGAGGAATTATGTATTTGGAAAAACAAAAATATAGCTATAATACAGTGTAACAGATTCTACAGAAGAATAGTATAAAGGAGCATTAAATAAAGGGCAATACACAGAGGAGTCAAGTTAACTGACTTGTACGACAGAGCATGGGAAAAGAAAAAGGGAGTGACTAGGACAAAGAGCCCTTTGTACCACACTTGGAGTGTAAACTCGATATCAGAGTCCATGAATACATCATTACAGGTTGTAAGGAAGAAAACGAAATGACCAGAGATACAAACAAAAATTCACTTACATTTTTAATGTTTTCATTGTTTTATTTTAAAAAATACTGATCCATCCGGAATGTTACAATTTAATGCAAGGCAAAATTATATAAATCTCAAACAGTAGTTAAATTAATACATACCTATCGAAAAGAACTTTAAAGCCTTAAAGAGCTTTGAAACATCTTTAAAGTTTAATTTCCAGCAATACAGCAGAATAAACATTTCTACTTAAAAGATTTTAAAGAGTGTGACTTAAGTGTGAAATGTTCAGTGTGGCAAGACAGACTGAAGAGGCAGAAAAAGTCATGAGACTTTGTCTCAACATACCAATAAATGATGTCAGCTAGGAAAAATACAAACTATTGAGTGCGTTATTGTACACATTTTTACCTAGTTCTCATTTGGTACCTTATAAGATGGCACACTCCAAAAATTACTACATGCAGGGAGCAGTCCTTCTCTAATCCTTTATGTCCATCAACATTAAAGTGCTTACTGCCTTGAGCTCAACCGAGGAAGGGCACGATTCCCGTGTGAATTATTTACTGTCCTGTAGGGCACGGCATAACCGATTTTACGTAGAACAGGCAGTTCTCACTTCTTCACCAGTGGCTCTGCTCTTTCTCTTCCACATTGAGCACAGTGTCCATAGTTATTCCTACATCCTGCAGTGAGCAACCCCCCTCCACTTCCAGAGGCCTTCTGGGAAAGGAAGTAGAGAGGCTGTATAGGGATGTGTGGTAGCCAATTTTCATCATCCAGTCAAATAAGACCTAAAAGATAAAAAGTTTAGTTACCAAATACTGTACAGAGTTGTGTCCTCCAGATCACCATGTTATTTCACAATTCTTTCATTGTTCAATCATGCCCCTAGGAGTAATGAAACAGAACTCTCACACCTTTCGAAGGAACCTTCTAGAGTGTAAAGGGAAACAGCATGCCATGAATTCTGAGATGTGAATAACCTTTAACACCTTCTGTTTCAGAGAAGGCTTAGGGACTACTGACGCCTCCAGATAGGAGACGCATTTAACAATTAGGAAACCCCCAACCATAGGGAATAGAAAAATTTATAAAAAGATTGAGAACGAAAGGTTGGCATTTGGAAAAAAGATTATTTAGATCAAAATCTAAGCCAAGAGTCTACATCAGAATCACTCAGGAACTTTGTCACAATAGACATGCCCAGGCCCCAGAGACGCCGCCTTATGATAGCCTGACTTTCAATGGGCCATCCCTATAAATTTTTAACATTTCATGTCATGAAGATTCCCATAGTAACTATCCAAATTTCCACTTACAATGCCTGCCAGAGGATGATTTGTTGCTTGAGGAAGAAACCTGAATGAAAGAATGCCCTTGGGGGAAGCTGGAGCACCAATTATAGGTAATCCCTCACTTCTACTGCTAACCACCATCCACGAACCTACTGATATTCCACGTAATAAATGTACATCTATGTCATAAAGCTCCATAATTTTCCGATATCTGGATATGCCTTAATTTAACCAATCTCTACACAAACACTTACACTTTTGATCATTTGTCTTATTTCCAAGAATAAATTCTCATAAATGAAATTACTGGACCAAAAGATTATGTTTTAAATATTTTAAAGATATATACTGGTAAATTATCCCACAGGAACACTGGTCCAATTTACACGCACATGAGCAATTAATGAGAATCCCTGTTTTCCCCACATACTGACCAGAACTGGGTACTCTTCTTTTTAATCTTTGACAATCTGATAGGTAGAAAATGATGTCCCATTTTATTTTTAATTTTTTTTTTAAAGATTTTACTTTTTTCCTTTTTCTCCCCAAAGCCCCCCCAGTACAGAGTTGTATATTCTTCGTTGTGGGTCCTTCTAGTTGTGAAATGTGGGACGCTGCCTCAGCGTAGTTTGATGAGCAGTGCCATGTCCGCGCCCAGGATTCGAACCAACGAAACACTGGGCCACCTGCAGCGGAGCACGCGAACTTAACCACTCGGCCACGGGGCCAGCCCCAAAGATGTCCCATTTTAATTTGCACTTCTTTGATTCTAAGTGAGGCCAAATATATTTTTCATATTTTTATCTGTCGCTTGGTCTTTCTTCTTTAGGAAATCTTCCATGTTTCTTATCAGTGATTGGGCTGAGCTGTTTATCTTTTCCTTCATTTCTATAGCTCCTTATAAAGAAATGACTCTACCACACATAGACAGTAAAACATTTTTTCCAAATTTTTATTTAACTTTATAAACTCTTTCTTTATAGAATTTTAAGTTTTTATGCAGTCAAATCCATCAGTATTTTCCATTATGGTTTATAGCATTCTTGTCATAGAAAGTTAAATGCAACAATCAGGATAGAATATTATTTAGCTATATTTTTAATGCATGCATAATTATATGTTATGCACTTAAAAATAGAAATACATCAAAATATTAGTAATTGGCTTTGGTGTCCAACTACAGATCAAAATTTTTTTGTTTTCCAAATTATTGCTAATGAACACAGTATAGTTTTTAAGAGAAGGAAGAATCTATTAGGACGAAAGGAAACAAGCCTTAAAGAATGATTTGAAAATTACACATAAACAGTGGGGCAAAGGTTAACAATCCATCAGGGATAATGAGAATAAGGTTAATACTGGCTGCTTTGAAAGCATCTTACCCACCAAGCTGCAAAAATGTAATTAAAACAAAAAACAACAAATAAAAAAGAAATAGGACAAGGAAGAACTGAAAAAATTTGAATGCAGAAATCACAATTCAAAAAGGCCCAGCCAGCATGGCTAACGATTCCAATTTCCGCAGCATCTTAGAGCACATATAAATGCCCTTACCCTGGCCTGAGGGGCGCACCAGCCAACACAGCGATAACACCTCCTCCACTGCAGGGGAAGAAACTATTGCCAAATTCAACAAAAACACTTCTCAAGATAAGAACTTCCTCACCTGTGAACTGCAAGACTTAAAAAACCGTCTCCTCAGGACCTTCCCACTTGGACATCGGAGAGCAACAGTAACTACCTGAGGAACAAAAATGTTCAGGTAAGAATTCCAACGCACTGCTTTTTGCAGTTCCAAAATTACTACTCCTAGGAAACGTCGGCAGTCATAACAGCACGTCAGGTTTTGTAGGAATTTAGTTCTGAGAGTTGTAAACCAACATAAAGGTCCAGATAAATTCACTCTAAACACAGAAATAATTCTGAAACTGAAACACATCTTCCTTCTGATTGAGGAGACCAGGGGCAGAGCCTTGCAGAAAGGACACCAGAACTTCAATGGCTCTGTCTGCCCAGATAATACCAAAATTGCAGCTGGGCTTCAGAAGTGACCTACCAAACCAAGACCCTGTGCCACCTCAGAGACCACAGGAAGAAAAGCACCAGGTCGGAAGGAACCAAAGGTTAGCCCGTCCACTCCTGCTGTAGGCTGCGCACCAGGCCCGCAGCATCCAGGCAAGGAGAGAGCAGTCTAGAGCTGGTCCTGGGGGCTGGGCGCTCGAGGAGGCCTCCTCCCCTGGGAGCAGCTCCTGCTTTATCTGCTCTATATACTGGGCTTCCTCATCATCTTTCCTTTGATCAAATGATTAAATAGCTAAAAAGAGCTTGCAAACTGCTAGTATATTAAAGGACATTCTAAAAAGAAAAGATGATGAATTAGTAATTTATTCTGATGCTCATTATTTACTTGTAGGAAACCCTTTCTCATGGTTAACATCATCATACTGTCCTGGGAGTTATGGTACATAAAAACGGTGGTTTCACAGCAGCATCTACCCCCTTCAGGAAAGCCATATTAGAAAATATCTCCAACCAAGGAGGTAAGGTATCTGAATCAGTGTAATGTTCAGCTCTGTTATTACTTCTACTAAAGAAAAGTTTTGTAATAAAACAAAGAAATCACAAAACAACTGAATCACATATTAAAAGCCAATTTTGCTTTTTTTTGCTGAGGAAGATTGACTCTGAGCTAACCTCTGTTGCCAATCTTCCTTTATTTTGTACGTGGGTTGCCACCACAGCATGGCTGCTGATGCATGGTGTAGGTCTGCGCCCAGGATCCGAACCCAGGCCACCAAGTGGAGCATGCCAAACTTAACCACTAGGCCATGGGGCCAGCCCCAAATTTTGCTTATTTTTAGGAAGAATAAAATTTAACTTTTACAGTGAGATTTTGTTCAAACTTTAATGATCTGAAAGAATTAAAGCCAAATGCTTTATGAGAAACTAGGGTTAAAATATAGCCAATTAATGTTTTTCATTAGAATTAGATAAAAACTTGGGAGAGACAAACTATCATTGTTTGAAATCCAGCAATTGTTCTGTTATTACAATTACTGTGAAAGTTGGCTGCACAATTTCTCCTACTATTACTGACAATGTAGTGGGCTGACATATGGATGGGTAAATGGCCTGGGACACAATCCAAATTAGAAAGTAAAACATTGTCCCAAACGCAGATTCTTAAATGGAATCTAAATTAAAAGTAGCAGCACTGGGGCCGGCCCGGTGGCCCAGAGGTTAAGTGCACACGTTCTGCTTCTCGGCTGCGTGGGGTTCGCTGGTTTGGATCCCGGGTATGGACATGGCACTGCTTGGCAAAAAGCCATGCTGCGGTAGGTGTCCCACGTATAAAGTAGAGGAAGATGGGCATGGATGTTAGCTCAGGGCCAGTCTTCCTCAGCAAAGAGAGGAGGATTGGCAGTAGTTAGCTCAGGGCTAATCTTCCTCAAAAAAAAAAAGTAGCAGCACTAACTGAAATTTGTACTCCTTAAAATGAAATAAGATGGCATACAATAATGAAAATTGTTGCTATGGTAATATGGCAACATTATATGATGATTTACAAAATTATTTTCAAATTCTAAAAGTAGAATAGTAATATATGGTGAATATTCCATTGTGAATTCCAGACTACCATGAATTATTTCCTCCTCTCATTTTAAAAATCTTACCACATTATTTTAGAACTCTATAGAAGGTTGCAAAACAAAATACATAGGAGACACTAAAAAACCCAGGTGTACTGCTTAAGTAAGAATTGCAGTAATTATGTTTCAGATCCCTCCTTCCTTGTCAGAAATCCATGTTAGTCATTAGTTCACTCATCTATTAGTCTGCTTCTAAATCCAAGCGGGCTTCCACTGTAACAGGAATTTTCTCTTATGGCTCACTACTTTAGAGTGACAGCTACAACACATACAGAAATAAACATACATATAGTGACAGCTTCATCTGGCTGTGATAGCCTTTAAAATGAATGTTAGTTGCCCCAGCAATACAGAATTATAAAGATGTCCTTCTATTCTGTGGGTGACACCAGACATTTAATGGGACCTCACTTAAATAAGAAAATAGAGAATTTCCTAAAAATTATAATTTCCAGCGTTCCTAAAAGTGAAATTATCCTTTCACATATGTACTCACCAAAGTTATGTAGTTAGGGGTTAAAACATATTTGTTATGACATGGGCAGGCTTTATGAATATGTCATGATTATGTAATATGGTATGGAATGATTATGACACCAGAGCAAAACCATTAAGGTGACAAAACAGGAAATAGTATTTTGCAGAAAGGCAGAAACAATGTGACTATATAACAACAAAGACAAATATCCTAAAAGCATGAGTAACCATCTGCCTCTCATTCCCTACGCCAGGCATGCCTTTTTTCCTTTGAAAACACTTTATTAGGGTGATAGGGTGGAGGACAGGTTGGAAGAGCACACTCCCCAAAACAGAATGCCTTCTTTTTCTTATTTTTAACTTTTATGAAGATAATCACACTCTGTGCTTAACGTCTATTTGTCTATTTTCATTATCCTCAAAAAGTTGGCTACAACAGACAGTCCTTCAATTCAAGGATCTACAAAGTAGCTGCATTCTTTCCTTTTCTCTTTTTTAAGGGGAAAACTACAACTTGAAGTCATCTGCCTATTTTGATTCTGTTTTAATAAGTAACTCAAATGCTGACCTGAAGTTCTGGGAAGGACCAGCTATCCTATGTCAGCCTGATGAAGCGAGGGCTCTAAAAACAAACTCAGAGGACAGCAGGCTTCCGGAATACCACCGGAGCCGAGGAGTCTGACCCGACACCATGTGCAAACCAACCCCTTAGTGACAGTGCATCACATCGACACTTACACTATCTTCTCCTTCCAAACCCAAATTCAGATAAGACATACTTGATGTTAGAGAAACTACAATTTTTAAAGAAAAAAAATAAGCTTACTTCTTCAGCTGTTTCAGGAGGTTCTTCAGGTAAGTCAAGAACCTAAAGAAAAGTAACTATTAGGAACAGGAACATAAGCATCCAAAGAAGAAAACGATAATCTCAACAAGAAGAGTTCCTTTCAATATAGAGTTTAGACAGATCTAAGCTTAGTGAAGTCTTTTCTTTTAATATACAAAAAGTATGTGTTTATAAAAAGTATACAATGAGAATGAGAGCTCAATTGATACACATTTTTGGGTAAGCAACTTTGTGATAACAATAGACCATAAAAATAGGATTTGAGACGACAACTACCAATCTACGCACATTTAAAGAATTTTGTTTTTATGATGATCCAAGATACTATGTAAAAATGTCCTATTTAAGGAAACAGAGGACAAATATTAACATGAATTAAGTTCAAAAAGACCCCAAAGTTATTTAGATTCATACATATACACATTTTAGGCTGAGATTCATACATATAAACATTTTAAACTGAGTGCGTATTTTTCTTCACTGGAACTTCTGGGGGACTGGCTAACAACCACTTCATTTTCAAGATTTACTCACATTTCCCTATTTCTGTTACTCTATTAAGAAATCAGGTGTTCAGAGCATTTTCTCTCATTAAAACACTTGTTACCAGCAATTTCACCTCTAGGAATGCTTTTTTATTTTTTAATCCCTTGGACTCCATGTTTTGCAACACTTTGTCTAACAACCATTAACTGCATCTAGTAAGTAAACTATTTGTTTTCCTTTGGTGTCAAAAGCATGATGACAGTTAACCAAAATTTACCATCAGCAAGAGATAATTCATGTCTTGAATTATCTCGACATGCTCTTGAAAAAACAAAGAGAATTATCTGGACATGCTCTTGAAAAAGCAAAGAGTCTTGAATTTTTAATTAGTCCATAGAGTTCATTAGATCTTTTTGAAATATTAGAAATAGTTCAATGGTCTGATTCCCACACTCAGCTCCATTAAGGGACCAGGAAACCTCAGAGTGAGAAGCAATACATTAGACAGTACTGTGAGGGAGCAGATGGCCTACCAGCTTTACCCAAGAGTAGGTAAAAACAGACTTCTTATTTCCAACCTTTACCATCTCCAAATCAGAGTCAACTTAGGGATGAAGATTCGAAAGAAAACAAGGAATAATAAATCTGGGCACTGTTCTAAAGTGAATGGTTGCTAACCCATTCCCGAGAAGGACCACTGAGAAAAATGATACACTCATGTTAATAATATTAGCCATTCACTAAATATGGCTTAATCATGCCTTAGCTACTCATAGAAATATTTCCCGAGGCCGGCCCCTTGGCCCAGTGGTTAAGTTCGTGTGCTCAGCTTTAGTAGCCCGGGGTTCGCTGGTTTGGATCCTGGGCACAGAACTATACACCACTCACCAGGCCATGCTGTGGCAGCATCCCACAAAAAACAATTAGAATGACTTACAACTCGGGTATACAATTATGTACTGGGGCTTTGGGGGGGAAAAAAAAGAAATATTTCCCTTATTAAACAGTATATTTTTCATTTCTATACAATCAAGTTACTTCCTCAGAAAGAACTGAGCATTATCTAATAGTGTCCATTTATCTTCATAGCTTCCTTCTAAGTTTGGTTCAGAATATTAATATTAATATTAAACAGGAAAAGTGATTTTTTTTTAAATTAATTCTGTTGACAACCTAAAGTCTAGACATAGGTTTATTTTTGCTGTGCAATGCCTGTATTTCTTTTTTTTTTTTTCCCGTCCCTAAAACCCCAGCACATAGTTGTATATCCTAGTTGTAAGTCCTTCTAGTTCTTCTATGTGAGCCACTGCCAGAGCATGGCTAACGATGGATGAGTGGTGTGGTTCCACACCTGAGAACCCAACCCGGGCCACCAAAGCAGAGTGCGCCAAACTTTAATCACTAGGCCATCAGCGCTAGCTCAGGAAAAGCGATTCTTAATGAAGCTGATCGCTTTGTAAGGTAGTAGGGGAAGACATCATCTGGATTAAAAGCCAGTCCTAATCTTCACTCAGTATCCCACCTCACCCACAGAACAATACTCCCCCCCCCCGGCCCCGCACGCTGACACCTTCATTGAGCAGGCATTAAGTGACGCACCTCCCTCTGCGTGGGCTTTTCAGCAGGTGGTGAAACTTTGGTTAAACACTTAAGCAAGTTCCGTCTCTTTGCTGCTTCTCTGTTTGAAGTTTCAAAAGATGTCTGACTCTCATTTTCAAGCACCAAATCTTCACCACTCTGGTCAAAAACAACAGAGAATTTCTAAAGAGATGCTATGGACTCTATTACGTTCAAAATGGTTATTTCTTTTACCCTGATAGCATTTCAGTAAAAAAATACAATTAAGTCATCATTAGATCCAGAAAATTAAAGCTTTATCTCCTCAGACAACAAAACATGGAGCTTAATGTTTCATAGGAACTACCCTTATCTAGGTCTGGGGTTCCCTCCAACAGATACAAGGCTAAGAGGGACCTTTCCATTTTAAATGACCCTCAGGTTTTTCAGTAGGATGTAAGAAAGAAGAAAACCTGGATGATACACTTTCCTCCAAGGGATCACATCTTAAAAAGCTGTGAAAATAGAACCTGTGTATAAAAACATTATGTCTATGTATGAGACCATGCAGAACTTCCTTAGCCGAATGAGGCCCTAGTATCTTGTTATATATAAACATACTTTAGTTCCTCAAATTCAAACTTTGATCTTCCATTTGAATTAATTACTTTAGGAGGCAAAAAATTGTATTCCAGAAATCATAAAGATTACTTTTTATTAATATTGTCTATTAAAACATCTTCCTTAACCAGATCATTGACGTAAATGCCAAATTCTCAAATATACATGTATTTGTTCAATAATGCCTTTCTTCCATATCCACTGACCTTCTAAAAGTTCTCTTTATTAGATTAAAATGGCCGCCATTTTCCCCATTCCTTTATCCTAAGAGAATCTGGTGGAAGGAGCGTGGGGACCAGGAGTCAAGAGATCTTGATGCAGAACAATTAACTGGCTAAACTTAGGCCGCCCCCCTGCAAACCAGGGGGCTGGATCAGCCGATGGATACACTTCCCTCCAGCTCTAACGTGCCGATGCTCACGTTCTTTGATAGTCCTAAGAGCCTTAAGTCACAACAACACCAACAGTCTACCATGTCCCTAACTTTTTGTGGTCCCCACTAACTATGTTAAAATATATACTAGCAGTGCCGTGAAGACACAGCCTAAAAGCAAGGGGCAGGGTGACTAATTCAGATTGTGACCATTTCAGAAAGAGCTGTGGCGGCTAAAATCAGGCTGCCAATGTCTAACACGGCAAAACTGAAGAGGAGACAAACTCAACTGAGAAGGGAAATCACGACACAGAGCAGCTGCATTTTATGTTGCCCATCTTCCACACTAATTTTATTACTCTTGATTGTTTTATGACATATTTGCCATCGTGAAATGAAGAACAAAAACTGATTCTGCTTCACTGTAAGAATCCTGTTTACTGGATTATTTTCTTTAAAACATGGTGAAAGGTGCAGTATAAACAGAAAGCAGAATAAACAAAAAAGTATTTGGGACAGAAATGATCTTACACACAAAAGCTGTGGCCAGTTACTCTAAAATTTAATTCCTTTATGAATATCCTTTTTCCTCTGTAAGAAAACTTCAAATTGTAAACTTCCATGAGCAAATGACAAAATTCATACTCAGTACCAGAGGAAAAGAGTCACAGGTTAACTGGTTTTACCAAAACAGAGCCAAACAAACAACAAAGAAACACATAGACACAGAGATTAGACTGGTGGTTACCAGAGTGGAAGGGGGGAGGCGGGGGCGTGAAAGGGCTGACCGTGTACGGTGACAGATGGTAATTAGTCTTTGGGTGGTAAACATGATGTAGTCCACACAGAAATCAAAATATAATGACGTACACCTGAAATTTATATAATGTAATAAACCAATGTTACCTCAATAAAAATCTTTAAAAAACAGAGCCAAACATAATGAATATAATGTGAGCTTATTAGACCTTGGAGATCTTACTTGAGGAAGGATCTGAATTCACGCATATAAAACAGTGACGTAGTCAACAGTTTTCTCAAAGACTACCTTCTGTTCGAGCTTTTCAAGGATCTAAGTTACATGCTCTGCAGGCACCAAAAACCACTCAACCATTTGATACATAAATCTGCTGAACAAAACTGATGTACCATCACTATTATTAAGATTCCTAAAAAACAGACTGTAATAACAGTTTAACGTCATTTGCAATTTTTCAAAAGAAATATATGTGAAAGGAAACATAAGAGCAGAATTCAAAATATAACATGAGAACATTTCCTAACCCCAAGTTTATGACCATTGCTTAACTTCCAGGTTTCACCCATCATCTGATAAAAGCGCTCTTCCAGTTTTTTCAATTTCATTTTCTGGTGAGGTTTTAGAACATTTTCTATGTATCTGCTGGCCTGTTCAAAAAAAAGAAAATTAGACGCTGTTACTATACATTAACTTAATTCCTAAGATTTTACACTGTCTATAAAGTTGTAAGTAAGAACCAGGTAAGAAACTGTGTTTTCACAATACCTGAATTTTGCCCAAAAAGCAGCATCCTCCACTTTTGCATCACTCTCTAAATACATGCATTTGTATATAATGCAAATAGAAACGAATATTCTAACTTGTGCTTGTATGGCATCCTGCCTATAGATCCAAATGGTCCTTGAGCTCTAGGAGCTGCAGTCAGAGCGATTTGTTCAAGGCATCATGCCTGAGGCGTGAACTCACTTGGAAGAGTGTTAACTGAATGGCTCAATGATGGTAAAGCAGAAAATATTTTTTGGAGTCAAAAGAAAATGGAGATTCTGGTTTTAAGATGACCAAGTGAAATTATTTTTGCCTCCCTCTCCTCTTGAAAATCAACCCAAAACAACCATGTGAACAAGAAATAGAAACCCAAATTCCACCACCAATGAAACAAAGAAATACTATAACCTGCAGACCTCTCAGTGTAAGGACAGAGGGAGGAGTGCTAACTGAAAGAACAGGGTGAGAGAACCGTAACCTAAGGGCTTGCTAAGGAGGACAACAGTAAGAAGCACGCTGTGCACCCCGCACACCTGGAGCAGCTCAGGAGAGACACCAGATACCACGGCAGGGACACGGGTGAGGTGCAGAGCTTCAAAAGGGGGGCCTCAGGGGAAGCCATGTATCAACCAATGACATTTGTAGTGAACCAAGGATTACGACTATTCCAATTCTTTGCACCTGAGGTTCTTAGGGAAAAGATGGGAAGAAAGACAGAAGAGCCAGTAGACCCCACATCCACTAACCTACCACACATCCAGGCATGGAAGGTTTATTCTCTGGGAATCTGAACCAGAGAGGCTGCAGTCACGATCCCAGGCCTAGTGGAGGGCAGGAGTGCAAACTAAAACAGAGAGTAAAAATGTACACACTGAAAGGTAAGACTCCCCAGCCACCTTCCCCACCAGACTCAGGCTGCTGGTGGCCAGGCTCTAACTCCCCCAGGCGGGAGAAGGAGGCGCCCTTTCTAGAGAAGGTGAATTGCAAAAGAGGAACATAGATACCGACAAAGTTAAATTACTCCTCAGTCACCCTGCAGTTAAGATGGCGTACACCCAACACCAGCAGACAACCATCAAGCTCCACCCTCATAATACAGAAATTCCAATTCGCTTTATATATATAAGTATAACTTATAAACAGTAAAGAACACAAAGCCTGATGAAATTTTACAAATACATACACCATCAATTAGCGTTTTAGTGCACCATTCTTAAATCTGAAAGGAGAGGGCCAAGGGTTACCAGATGTTTAAGGAAAGACTCCAACATGAAAAGTGAAGGCTAAATTAACGAGGAGAAAAAAAGAAACTTGAAAACCACACTGGAATTTGAGGATAATAGTGCAGTATTTCAAAATCTAATAATTTTCAACCTGTAATTCTATAACAAATCAAATTATCAATTAAGAGTCAGAGCAGAAAAATCACCTTTTTAGAATGCAAAGATTCAAAAATTTTATGTATCATCAGGCAACATGTCTGCACAGGCTGGGTACTTGCTATGTACACAGACTATACGAGGAGATATTAACTTATTAATTTGCCTTTGTCCAAAGAGAGAAGACACAGGGTTAAAGTTTTTAGACTTTTGCCAAACAAAAAAAAATCCCAACTTTATATACCCTTAGGAATTATAGATGCCAATTAGTATGCAATTGGCATATAGACGGAATTATAGTTTACTAATTAGCACGCCAGGCTTTAAAATCAGGGGCCAGTCCTGTGGCTGAGTTAAGTTCGCGAACTCCGCTTTGGCAGCCCAGGGTTTCACCGGTTCGGATCCTGGGCGTGGACATGGCACCGCTCATCAGGCCACATTGAGGCAGCGTCCACAACCAGAAGGACCCATAACTAGAATATACAACTATGTACTGGGGGGCTTTGGGGAGAAGAAGAAGAAGAAAAAAAAAGATTGGCAACAGATGTTAACTCAGGCGCCAATCTTTAAAAAATAAATAAATAAAATTAACAGTTGGGGGCTGGCCTGGTGGCACAGTGGTTAGGTGTGCACATTGCACTTCGGCGGCCTGGGGTTCACCAGTTTGGATCCCGGGTGCAGACATGGTACTGCGTGGTGGGCCATGCTGTGGTGGGCATCCCACATATAAAGTTGAGGAAGATGGGCTCAGATGTTAGCTCGGGGTCAGTCTTCCTCAGAAAAAAGAGGAATATTGGCAGATGTTAGCTCAGGGCTAATCTTCCTCGGGGGGAAAAAAAATTAACAGTTACTTCTACAGGAGATAACATTAAACTTTAGAAGTTCAAATATTTACAAGAGGGCTTCCTATAAAAGCTCTTGCAAGGACACTTTCATTGTTACTAAATTCAGATCAGAGTATTACTGCTCACATACAACCTGACAGTTCAAAGTCAAGAAAAGATAGATAACCAGCCATGGGAAATGCAGTTCCTAGCTATCAAAACCAATCTCAGATAGGATGCAGCAAAAGCAATGCTCAGAGGGAAAGTTATATCAGTGAACATCTAATTAAAGAAGAACTACTCAAATCAGTAAGTTGACTTTACACCTTAAAAAACTAGAAAAAGAGCAAACTAAAACCAAAGCTAGCATAAGGAAGCAAGTAAAGATTACAGAAGAGATAAAAACATAGGGAACAGGATAGAAAAACAATAGAACCAACTAAAATAAAAAACTTGTTCTTTGAAAAGATCAACAAAATTAACACACCTTTAATTTGACTAAGAAAAAGAAAAATAAAATCAGAAATGAATGTGGGGATATTACTACCAACCTTACAGAAATAAAAAGGATTATAAGAGACTACTATGTAAAATTGTATGCCGTCAAATGAGATGAGCAAGATAAAATGGACAGATTCCTAGAAACACACAAATTACCTAAACTGACTCAAGAAGAAATAGGAAACCTCAAGAGACCTAACAAGAGATTAATTCAGTAATTAAAAACCTCCCACCAAAGAAAAGTCCAGGGGCCGGCCCCGTGGCCGAGTGGTTAAGTTCGCGTGCTCCGCTGCAGGCAGCCCAGTGTTTCGTCAGTTCAAATCCCGGGCACGGACATGGCACCAATCAACGAGCCACACTGAGGCGGCGTCCGACGTGACATAACTAGAAGGACCCACAACTAAGAATATACAACTATGTACCAGGGGGCTTTGGGGAGAAAAAGGAAAAAAAAATAAAATCTTTAAAAAAAAAAATAAAAGTCCAGGATCAGATGGATTCACTGATGAATTCTCTCAAACCCTCTAAAGAAGAGTTAACACTGATCCTTCTCAAACTCTTCCAAAAAACAGAAGAGGTGAGAACAGTTCCTAACTCATTCCACAAGGTGAACATTATCCTGACACCAAGTAAGACAAAGACACTACAAAACAAGAAAAGGACAGACCAATATCCTTATGAATATAGATCCAAAAACTATCAACAAAATATTAGCAAACTGAGTCCAAAAGCATACTGAAAGGATTACATACCAATGCCAAGTGTGATTTACCCCAAGCATGCAAGATGGGTCAACATAAGAAAAAGCAATCAATGTAATACATATTAATAAATACAAAGGAGGAAAAAAACCATGATCATCTCAATTGATGAAGAAAAAGCATTTGACAAAATTCAACATTCTTTCATGATAAAAATACTCAGAAACTAGGAATAGAAGGGAACTTGCTCAACATAAGGAGCATCTAGAAAAAGCCGACAGCAGGGGCCGGCCCAGTGGTGCAGCAGTTAAGTGCGCACGTTCTGTTTCGGTGGCTCGGGGTTCACCAGTTCGGATCCCAGGTGCGGACATGGCACCGCTCAGAAGGCCATCCTGTGGTAGGCGGCCCACATAGAAAGTGGAGGAAGATGGGCTTGGATGTTAGCTCACGGCCAGCCTTCCTCAGCAAAAAGAGGAAGATTGGCAGCAGATGTTAGCTCCGTGCTGATCTTCCTCAAAAAAAAACCACAAAAAAACCATAGCTAACATTACACTCAATGGTGAAAGCCTAAAAGCTTTCTAAGATCGGGAACAAGACAAGGATGCCTACTTTCATCATTGCTATTCAACAATGTTTAGAAGTTTTAGTCAGAGCAATAAGGCAAAAAAAAAAAAAAAATACATGGCATCAATTTTGGAAAGGAGGAAGCAAAACTATCTCTATTCTCAAATAATAGGATCTTACTTATCGAAAATCCCAAAGAAGCTACACGCAAAAACCACCAGAGCTAATAACAATAAGCACAGTTGCAGGGTACAAGATCAACACACGAAAATCATTCGTGTGTCTATACACTAGTAACGAAAAATAAAAAAGAAAACAATTCCATTTATAACAGCATCTATAGCCAATTGATTTTCAACAACAGTGCCACCACGACCATTCAATGGAGAAAGAATAGTCTCTTTAACAAATGCTGCCGGGACAACTGGATATCCACGTGCAAAAGAATGAAGCTGGACACCCACTTCACACTACATACAAAAATTAAGTCAAAAAGTGGGTTAATAACCTAAATATGAAATCTAAAACTATACAACTCTCGGAAGAAAATACAGGGGCAAATCTTCATGACTTTGGATTTGGCAATGGATTCTTACATAGGACACCAAAAGCATAAGCAACAAAAGAAATAATACATAATTGGACTTCATCAAAATTAAAAATTTTTGTGCATGAAAGGACACTATCAAGAGAGTAAAAAGACAACCCACAGAAGGGGAGAAAATACTTGCAAACATATATCTGATAAGAGTCTAGTATCCAGAATATATAAAGAACTCCTCCAATTCAACAACAAAAAGACAAACAACCCAATTTAAAAATAGGCAAACAATCTGAATAGACATTTCTCCAGAGAAGACATACAAATGTCCAACAAGCACATGAAAAGATGCTCAACATAATTAGTCATTAGGGAAATGTACATGAAAACCACAATATGATACCACTTCATATGCATTACAATGGGTATTTAAAAGGAAGGGAGGCAGTGGGAATAACAAATGTTGGTCAGGATGTGGAGAAATTGGGACCCTCAGAAGTTGCTAGTGGGAATATAAAACGATATAACTGGGGTGGAAAACAGTTGGGCAGTTCCTCAAGAGGTAAAGAGAGAATTACCATACGACCCAGCAATTCCACTCCTCTCTATATACTCAAAAGAACTGAAAATAGGTACTCAAACAAATACTTGTACACAAATATTCACAGCAACACCATTCACAATAGCCAAAAGGTAGAAAAAAAACTAAATGTCTACCAGTGAATGAATAAAGAAGCAAATTTTGATATATCCACACAATGGAATATCATTCGGCCATAAAAAGGAAAAAGTACTGGTATATGCTATATGGATGAACCCTGGAAAAATTATGCTAAGTGAAAGATGCCAGACACATGTTGTATGATTCCATTTATATGAAACATCCAGAAGAAATAAATCCATTAAAGAGAAAGGCGATTTGTGGTTGCCAGAGAATGGAAGGAGTGGGCGGGGGAAGTGACTGTTTAACAGGTATGGGGTTTTGTTTGGGGGTGAACAAAATGTTCTGGAACTAGACAGTGGTAGTGGTTGCACAACTTCGTGAATGTTTTAAATGTCACTGAATTTTACACTTTAAAATGGTTAATTTTATGTCGTGTGAATTTGACCTCAATTATAAAAAAAAATCTGAGCAGGAACACAGAAAGTAAAGACCTAATTTTAAATGCCCCAGATATTTCTGTATTCTCTCTCTATATATAAACTCTCTAAAAATTAGGCTTTACCTTTTCCCCCTGGGCCTCTTGTTGTTTTTTTCTCACAAGTTTTTGCCTTTTCTCATTCTTCTCTTCTTCTTCTAAGACATCAAAACATAAAAGTGCTTTTTAATTCCAAAGTATCAGTAAGGTTAATGCTATTTTCTCTGAAAACAGTTTGTAGATCTTAATATTTTGGGAGAGACAAAGCTTCAAAACACAGATTATATTTTTCAAATAATGAAAATGACATCCATGCAGATAGTTGAAACAAAGAAATCCACACGTAAAATCTATAAGAAAAGGTCTTTCTGAAACAAAATTCTCTGACATGTATTAATATTGTATGTTATAGTTTTGGTAAGGAGGTTCCAAGAATGATTATGGTGGGTTTTCTTTGCAGGCCCCTGACACGGTTTAAGCAGCTTCAAGGCACAGACAGTGTGGAGCCCATTACTGCACATGAGGGGGGAACGCTGCACGGAGGCACAAGGAGTGCCATTGGTGACCTTTGGACATGACGGTAGGAGCAACACGCCTAGATCCCGAGGGTGGGTGTGCGTGGCAGCTCCTATACTGACTGAACCAATCTTAGGTCACAATCCACTGAAGGTCAAGAGGAAGGATTTCTGCCGTTGTATGGAACTTTTTTATTCTGGGTATGATAAATTTCATTTAAGTTAATTTCATTTAACCATATTCTTTTGAGGAATTATCCATCTTTTAGGAAAATATATCCTTTAAGTCACTTGGCTCATTCAACAGGGGTATTTCTTTCTGTCAACAACTTTATCTCTAAGGCAGTAAATATTTCCTCACATTTATTAAGGAAAGATTAGGACAGAAAAGTGCACAGGAAATCAGAAGGCTCAGTTTGGCCACTAACCTGCTAGGTGATCAGTCAAACTTAGTGATCCTAAGACTCCTTCCAAACTCTGAGTCAAAGCATATAGTTTTTAAATAAATCACCAGCAGGAGATTAAGCCGCTTTCATCCTCAAGGCTACTGAGAACCGACTACTTCTGAACTTTTGATATACCTCATCCTGCAAATCTTTACAAAATAGGGAGAACTAAAGTTTTAGATAAATCTACAGTCTTGTATCCCAACATCTGACGACAGTAGGGCACATAGAAAGTGTGTGAGCAAGCTGATTTTTCACTCGTTTGAAGACAATCTGACAATAATTAGGCACTATACACAGTCTTAATTACTTATTAGACAGTTTTAGTCTTCAGTGACGATTGTCTCAAAATTATCAACCCATGAATGCACCAAAATGACTTGCACTCCAGGGACATAAAGGTACAACTTAAAGCACAGAAACTATGTCAACTGCACATTTCCCTTATTTATAAAACTCTGAAAATTTGACACGATAGTTTAACATCTATACCAAATACCTTCCTGATATCAAAATGTATTTAATACAAAATTTCTAAGAGAAGCTACAACGAGTAATTTTAATTTTCCAACTGAGTAATTTTGAAGTATAAGAGATCAAATAATTCACCAAAAGAAGAAAGAAAAAATTTCGAAAATCCATGATTGGGAGACTCTGAAACGGCCATGCTGTCTTTTATTTTTGGGTTGAATAGCGTAACCTTTTAGGATCCTGGTTTTATTCACAGTTAATTTGAAAGGGCTATAATTAAACACTGCTCATTTTCCTTTTATTTATTTACATTTAAATGAACAGCAAAACAAAACATAATGCACCAAATTCACTATTGGCTAGCTTCTTTCTAGGAGGATATAAGATTGTAGGCATTCGTTTCAGAATTCATCTGTTCTGAGGTAAACTACAATATTGTCTTAAGAGGCTTCTAAGACTCACAAACTTTTGCTTATCAAAAAACAAAACAAAACCAAAACAAGAATAAGCATGGTTTCCTAAAATTAAGTGCACTTGACTGTACATAAGAGATTAGTATGTAAACAAAAACTGCCAGAATGCAATGAAAAGTTAGGGTGAAAGGCCTTTAGAGATTAATGGTAGACACATCTACCATTCGTAGACTAGTTTGTCAGCTGTTGGTATCAAACAGCAGTTATGCTGCACAAACACATAGTTTAAAACTAGAGAATTTGCAATGTCTCAACTTAGAAATGATATAGTTTTAAATGTATATGTAAGGAAAATGTACCAGTCCTCATAAAAATGTTGGGATTTATAGTCCATTCAAAATCATGACTAAAGTTGTAACGATTACTCTACCTTGAAATTACACAGCATAAACTAATGATAAAATGGTTCTTATTGTGCAAATAAATAATAAATGAAGGAAAGAAATTTCAGTAGAAAAGTATAAGCGTAGTATAAACAATAAACTTACCTTTCAGATAAACGGGAGAAGATTTAAATGAGTTAAGCCATGAGGTAGTCACAGAAATAATTAAAGTAAGAAGAGCAAGAAGTAAGAAAATCCGGCCACACAGCAAAATTAGATCTTTAATTCCTTATAAAGGTAAAAAAAAAAAAAAATTACAATTAAAAGTCAAAACACTTTTCTTGATACTAATAATAAACACAGTAGAAGATTATTCGTACTAAAAAAGCACAGTAAAAGTTGAGTCCTACAACTGTATTAGGATTGTTCATATAGTCTCCTTTGGGCGCCAAAAGTCATCATTGTTGCATTACCAGAACAAGTTTTCAGCAAACAATTCTAGAACATCTTCTGTCTCAGGTAAAATTTGAGTGACTGGCTAAATTATAAATATCATAACTATCAATAATGCATAAGTTATGGTCTCCCTTCTTCCCAGATAAGGAAATAAAATTATCCAGAGAATTAGGAATTAAATTGTGACGGTACCATCTTGTCAGCTTCCAGTTCTATTTAAAAACTATCAACCCCACTGAAACACTAAATTCTTGCTTCTCAGAGTTAAATTATGCAACGGTATATTTCTCTATTTCTCAATATTCATTCAATCATTTGTAAATAAAATTACCACATACACATTTGCCTAGAAAAAAAGTGAAAATTCAGTATTTGGTTTTATATTAAGAAGCAGGATGAAACTTAAATCAGCAAAAATGTAACAAGTACCTGCTCTGTGCAGCACAATCTGCTAAACGGTGAGGGAGCAAAGATATAAAGTTCGATTAAAAATAGTTTCTACTAGGAAATTTTAGTTTTGTTTTGTACTTCTCAGAAGTTACCAGGCACAGGTGCGAGGAACCATCTTGTCAACGTGACTGGGCTGCTAGTTAGTCAATTAACCAAAAATTAAAGAAGGAATTACATATATACAGGCTTAAATATATCACTTTTAACTAAAAACAGATATGTATGTTACCCTTTTTTTTTTTTAAGTGATTTAAAGTTGTTTAGAGAAGAAGTGGTTACAATTCAGTGCTCTCACCGCCACGGCCTGGGTTCGTTTCCCAGTCAGGGAACCACACCACCCATCTGCCAGCTGTCATACTGCGGCCACTGCACGTTGCTGTGATGCTGAAAGCTATGCCACCGGGATTTCAAATGCCAGCAGGGTCACCCCTGGTAGACAGGTTTCAGTGAAGCCTCCAGACTAAGACAGACTAGGAAGAAGGACTTGGCCACACAATTCCAAAAAAATTGGCCAAGAAAACCCTGCGAATAGTAGCTTGGGGCATTGGCTGATATAGCACTGGAAGGTGAGAAGGTGGCGCAAACAGACGGGGCAAGGTTTCCCTCTACCGCATACAGGGTCAGGAGGAGTCGGAACCAACTCAAGGGCACTAACAAAAAGAGAAGAAATACTTTCTTTTGCATTACAGTCCTTCCAACTTTTGTCAGTATTAACTACTGAGTCAGGCGTTGTTCAACAGAACACATAATTAAACCTAGGATGACTCCGGCCATTACAAAAGTAATTTAATACCTAGAGTATTGGTATTTAAACAAACCAGTGAGCTGTCGGATTGATGTTCCCATAATATTGCTTTGTGTTCTAATAAGCAAGCAATTTGCAAATGTCACATATAAAAGGACCAGATTTGTGTGTACACCTTTCAGGTACACTCATGTATTGCAAAACCACGGCCTGCATATATGACGGTGGTCTCATAAGATTAGTACCATATAGGGGCTGGCTGGTGGTGTAGTGGTTAAGTTTGCGAGCTGAGCTTCAGCAGCCTGGGGTTTTCAGGTTTGGATCCTGGGGCAGACCTACACACTGCCCCTCCAGCCATGCTGTGGTAGCATCCCACATATAAAAAAAAAAAATAAAAGAGAGGAAGATTGGCACAGATGTTAGCGCATGGCCAATCTTCCTCACCAAAAAATAAATAAATATATAAGAAGAGTGAAATTAAAAAAAAAAATGAGTACCATAAAGGCTGGGTGTGTAGTAGGCTATACCATCTAGGTTTGTGTAAGTACACTGATATGATGTTTGCACAAGGATGAAATCACCTAACGATGCATTTCTCAGCACGTATCCCTATCGATAAGTGACGCGTGACTGTAAGACATTGGAGTTTCTTTGTACCTACTCTCAACAGCCAAGGTGCAGGGCATTTCATAGGATAACAAATGTGAGGAACCAGCATTAAAACATTAGCCTAAAGTATTATATTATATAATATTAGGCTAAAGTATTAGGCATTAAAATAGCCTAAGTATGAGTAAAAATGTATTGCCAATGAAAGCTTTTACACAGTAGAAAAAGACAGGGATCATTTTTCAATACATGTCCAAAAATACAGCCCAGATGAATGAACAGGTCTAGGAATTCCACTTTTCCCCCTGGGAATTCAATTAGCAGCTCCAGTTGAGAGTATTAGTATTTATAAGTTCTGTTCCACACAAAACCAGCCCAGCAGCTGCTACACTAGGATGTACGATTTGTAAAATAGACTTAAATACTGTTACTGGATATTTGCAGAACTAATGTCAAGAAACCAAAGTAAACAACCATCAGTTCACAACTAAGAGAGGATTCTAGGAGAAAAAAGTTAAGTGAAAATTTCAGCACCTAGACGGAGATGCTGCCAGGAGCCCAGTTGCATTTTCTAGAACTTGTGGCCTACTTTTATTAAACATTGTGATAAGTGATGGGAATACAAAAACAAATCAGATGTGGTCTCTCCCCTCAAGAAGTGTATTTCCCTGTGGTCAGAGCTTATCACACGAACAGATCTCTTTCTGCAACCATCGGTCACCACCTTCTCATTGACTAGTGACTCAAATATTAGTGCAAAGTAGAAGATTCTAGATGAGCAGAGTAGGAGTGGATGCTGTAAAGGCAAGAAAGCAGGTAAATTCTGGAATAAGTAAGTGTGAACATAATATTTCTGTATATCATTTGGATGAAGGTCTTGTTGATTCTAATACAGCTCGAGTGAGTAGGAGGCTTCTCAAGGGTCTTTGTAGGTTTTTTTAAAAAGCAGTTTATTTTAATTTCTTATTTCAAGCAACATGCCTGAGTACCTGACTTCTTGAGGGTGGGGAGGGAGGGTGGAGAGAGAAAGAGAGGAAATATGCAAAACTAAATTTCATCATGGTCTCCAACTTTAAAACTGAGTTTAACAAAGGAGACACAGAGGCCAGCCCAGTGGCCTAGTGGTTAAGTTCTTGTGCCTGGCTTCTGCAGCCCAGCAGTTTGTGGCTGGATCCCGGGCAGACCTACACACTACTCATCAAGCCATGCTATTGCAGCATCCCTCATACAAAAAATGGAGGATTGGCACAGATGTTAGCTCAGCAGCAATCTTCCTCAAGCAAAAAGAAGATTGGCAACAGGTGCTAGCTCAGGGCCAATCTTCCTCACCAAAAAAAAGGGGAGACAGACATGTAAACTGATCACTAGTATGTCCAAAAATGAAGTGATTCTCCACAGGTCCACCACTTTCCTTTCAGTTTTCCCTTTATCACTGGCACTACCAACTACTTAGGGTTCTTCAATCCCACAGGTAGGAGTCATCCTTGAATTCCTCCTTTCCTTCACCCCAAACATTAATCCATCAACAAATCCCGTCGATTCTACTTTGTAAACACCCCAAATCTGTGCACATTTCATCTCCTCTGCTATCACCCTACTCCCGGCCATCATCTCTACTTGCCTACTTCAAAGCTTAACTTCAAAGCTGCTTCTACTCCAGCTTCCTTCCAAAATATTCTCCACGCAGAAGCCAGTGACCTCTTTAAACCTTAGGGAAATCACGTAACTTCCCTCTATCTCCGTTTCCTCCTGGTAAAATGGGGATTATTATAGCATCCACGCCCTATGGTCCTCATTCAGATTAAATGAGACAAAGAATACACAGCACTTAGAGTTCGGTTTATAACAGGTGCTCAATGAACGTTATTATATTGAGCCATTCTGCCTCAAACTCCTTCATCCAGCCACAATGATCTTCATTCATCCTTTTCCTCCCACATGTCACAATTCCATTTGTCTGGCATGTTTTTCGCCCAGCTTTTCAAAGGAGTGGCTCCTTATCATCCTTTAAATCTCTGCTTAATTCCTCAGCAGGCCCTCATCCATCACCCCGTTTGTTTCCTTTTGAGCTTTCAACACAACCCGATAGTGACTGTTTGTTCCTGTGCTTTCTACCTCTGCCCCCTTATACGCAAAACTGCACCAGTGAGGAGGGACACACCTTCGGCCAAGACCAGACGGCCTCCCGGCGTCGGCGGAAGACTCTCTTGGGAGGACCCGGCGCCGGAAGAGGGAGGAGGAGGCGATGCAGCCTGGGAATCGTAGTCAAAGCCGCTCAGAGGCTACGCGGCCGGGAGACGGCAATTCTACGCAACCGTCATTGGACAGTTGCCGGGGTGTGAGCGCCAAGAGAAGAAAGCCAACACTTACCTAGACCCGGGATCCCACGCCGCAGTTCCAGACACAAGAGCGGGAGAGCAGAGAGGAGGAAAATGCCAACGACCCCACGAGAAGCCATGATGGCGGGCGCCCGCCTCCGGGCGGAAGGCCCGCCTCTTCCGGTTGCGCCTTCCCTGGGAGGGTCCCGCGAAACCCTTCCTGAGGGAGGGATTTTGCGCGAGAGCTAGGATCTAAAGCTGGGTCGTTGGTCAAACTGAGAAAAGCCCCTGTTTCTGAACTCATAGTCTGTAGCCTCTCTCAGAAGAAACAGAAGTCACCTCCTCACGTCACATGATGTCCAGGGAGACGGCCTCCTTGGCGGCCCGCCTAGCCCAGTCCTGTGAAGGGAAGGAAGCCTGGGCCCTGGCGAGGCGGCTTCCGAGGCGAGGCCGGCAGCGCCTGTCCCTTCGGCCGGCGGACTCTGGAGGCTGCGGGAAAGCTCTCAGGAGAGAAATGAAGTGGAAGAGAAAGCGTAGGGGCGGTTGACGCTGGGAGGAGGCAGCCTGGCCCCTTGGCCTTGTGTCCGTAGGGGCTGACTGGGCTTTTGGGTCCGATCTCCCAGGCACCACTCTCCTGAAGCACCTGCCTTATCTCCCTAAGGGTTCTTGGGCCCTTCCGCGGTCTCTCGTTCCTGCGGGAAGATGATTCCAAAGTGGGCCCTGGCACCGCATTCCAGATGCTGGACACCCGCTACCCCTTGCTCCGCTCCTTGTCAGTTTTGCCAATGGGAGTTATTTTTAGTGACTTAAGTTGGCCTCACAGTTCTGTGACCTCATTGCCATCCCATGACTCCCCTCTGTGGCGCTCCTGCCAGCCTGAAACTCAAGCTACGGAGGTCCTCGCAACTTACAAGATTTCATGCTTTGAAATGTCATTTTCTGGCCTATCCATCAATCCTCCCACCTCAGCCTTCAATTTAGTTCAACTAACATTTATTGAGCCCTACGATTTGCCTGGTGTTGTAGAACTCAGGAGATTCACGTACTTGTAAGTTACTGAATTTGTCCTCAAGAAACTCAGTTTAATGAGAAAGATAGCCCTGTAAACAGATAATTATAATACGGGTACCTGAGGGCTATGATGGGGATATTCCCAGGATGCTACAGAATCCTACAATGAGGACTTGCGCGAAGGCTTTCCCGAAGGAAATCATTCCTAAATTGTGTTGTAAAGGTTAGGAACTCCGGGGAGAGAGGACAATAGGAGGTGTGGGATCTTAAGTTTAGGAAACTGAGTGCGAAGGAGCTACCAGCAGTTACAATATTGCAGTTTCAAGTTTGAATGGAGGTGCGGAGCGGCAGATGGGAGCTAAGACCACAGAGGACTTTTCTTTGTATATAAGCTAAGAACCTTATCCTGGAAGTGAAGGTGCAAAATATGAGGGCACAATCGCAAAGTCAATGCTGGTCCAGTAATATCAGTTATAACATGACATACCAATTAAATAATGGACTATATTGACTCATTCAGAGGTCCTCGTTGTCTGCATGAAGACAGGAAAGAAAGGAAGTTCTACAGCTCTTACCATCTCCATGTTGGTATGATTTCCTCCTTGAGGTGTTTTGCTTCCTCCTTTCTACAGTCCTAATTTAATCTGTTGATGGCACCAGTGAATCTCTGTCAGGACAATAAACTGGAGACTCCCAAGTATTCCAGATTTGCTTGGAGTCTTACGCCTTGCCCAAACTTAACTGATTGTGAAATCTCTTCACTGCAGTTGTCTACTGATCACTCCCACCAAAAGACTACCAGAATAACGTGTTCTGAGTTGTTGAACTTAAAAATAAAAGTCATCTGTTTACCAGCAAAAGTGGATTATTACAGAACAGCAAAGAATTGCAATTCTAGACGTGCAACCTATGGCGAACCACAGCCCAGTTTGGCGAACAAAGGAGAGGAACCTTCTGTTACAGAGGAGAAGGGGGAGTTGGGCGGGGCTGTTATAAACAAAGACTCCATTGGAGGACACTGGGAGTTTGAAGTCTAGTGGCTTTTCATTGGCTGAGCTGTGACAATCTCTCATTGGCTGAGCTGTTGCTGGGCAAGGAGAAAACCTTCCTTCCTTCCTTCTAGGGCAGTAAAGTAGTATCACTTCCTGCAGGAGATGCAAGGTACCTATCTTCCTCTTGGGGTCTGTATTGATGATGTGTGGTAAATGTGTGAGAGCAAACCTCACACAAATGAGGTTTCTGTTTATTAATTTTCACAGAGTAAAACCAAGTTTCTCACTTACTGCATTTAGGGAGAACACTGTTTTGACATAATCTTAGCAGTGTCTCAGAGGGGTGGTCAAGGGTGATTTTTATAGGGTTTTTGGAGTCTAGATTGGAGTAGTTTAAGGTGGCCTCTTCTATGCAGGGATCTCATTGGGATTGGACATGATGCATGGTTTAGTAGTTTAGGACTTGTGGACCCAGCAAGATGAGAGACTGGAAGGCAGATCTGCCCCCTTTTTTGATAAGGAAGGGGATTTGCCCAGTTAAGTGATCAATTCAACTTCTGAGTGCCTGACGGGGAAGGTTTTTACCCAGATGAGCAACCTTTTGCTCACATAAATGGATTTTCAGGAAGTCTCAAGCTAACAATGAAGTTATGTACTGATTTACAGCCTATCTTTGTGAGCAAGAATTTTGCTGGAACAAATAGTAAAGTCATGTCACTTGATGTAAGGTCTTAGTTCTTAGTGATGATAATTAAGCTATGGGCCACAGGTGTCTCAGTGCTCACAATAAAATCTTAGGAATACCCTTGAGTAAGGTATAAGAGAAAGAGATTTTAATTTTTATATCTAGATAGTTTATATTAAACCATTCTCTATTAACATTCTTAAAACACACATTTCACATTTTTCTTATTTAACAAGTGATGCAACCTGTTTTCTTTACATATAAAAAAGTAGGATTGTCAACACATTTAAAAATTACTTATAATCATATTTGTTGGGGGGGTGCAAATGTTTATTAAAAGGTAGCCTGAATTGTAAGTATTAAGTGTATCCAAACGGCTTTTGTGACCTAACGTTTGGAATTTTTGCATTTAAAGAATCAACTAGTTAATTTTTGGGATATTTTATTATGAAAATTTTGAGACAGAAAAAATTGAAAAAAATTTACAGTGGGTATCCATACACCCACCATATTTTTATTATACTTATTTTATCACATATCAATCTATCCATTCATCAATCTTTTTTTGATGCATTACAAAGCCGCAGACATTAGTACACTTCCTCCAAATACTTCAGCATGCCTATCATTAACTGTATCATGTGCATATGCAGACTTCATATGACATGCATACTTCAGCATGCATATCATTAACTATAATGAAATGCACACGTCTTAACAGTACCATTCCTTGAGTTCCAAAATAAGCATTGTTAAAAGATAAACTGAGGCATATTAAAAATGTCGAGTTTATTTGAGCAAAAATCTATTCAAATCAGGCAGCATCCAATCTAGCAGATAGAAAGGAGCTCCATGGAAGACTTTTATAGTGAGCAGAGAGCAGGAACAAGGAAGTTATATTATGCAGAAAAGCAGGTTGGTTATTGAAGGTTACTTTCCTTTAGGGGATGGCAGTGGTCTATCAGATTACGTAACTAGTGCTGATCAGGAGATGCCGTTTCTGGGAGAGCTGAAACTGTGTTAAGTCTTGGTTTGATGACATGGGGCTTAGCATAAGTGACTCCATTTGGGGCCTGTTGTCTTGTTTTTTAACAGCATACACCAGTGCAACCCATTTCACTATCAAAATAGAAAACTTTGCCCAGAAAGTAATCATTGTTCTGATGTTTTTTTTCCACCATAGATTAGCTTTGCCTCTTCTGGGGTTCCTATAAATGGAATTGTACAAAATGTACCTGTTTGATTAGGCTTTGTTCACACAGCATAATTTTTTAAACTTTTTATTTTGAAACAATTATAGGTTCACGTTGAATTGTAAGAAATACTACGGAGAGATCACATACATCCTTTACCCAGTTTCCCCCAATGGTAAATTCATGCATAACCAAAATACAATATCATAAACAGAAAATTCATATAGACATAATCCACTAACCTTATTCAGATTTTACCAGTTTTACATACATCCATTTGTATGTGTGCATTTAGTTCTGTGCAGTATTATCACCTGTGTTGATTCATGGGACCACTACTAGTCAAGATACAGAACAGTTCTATCACAAGAATCTCTCGTTCTACCCTTTTATAGCCACAGTCACCTCACTTTATCCTTCACCACCACCATACCCCAGGCAACCACTAATCTGTTCACCATCTCTTTAATTTTGTTATTTCAAGAATATTACGTAAGTGCAATCGTAAAGCATGTAAACTTTTGAGATTGGCTTTTTTTTACTCAGTGTAGTCTCCTTGAGATCAATATAAGTTGTTGCGTACATTGATAGTCATTCCTTTTTGGGTTTTTTTGGTGAGGAAGATTGGCCCTGAGCTAACATCTGTTGCCAATCTTCTGTGGGTTTTTTTTTTTTTCCCTCTCCCCAAAGCTCCAGTATGCAGTTGTATATCCTAGTTGTAAGTCATTCTAGTTCTCTGTGGGATGCTGCCACAGCATGGCTTAATGAGTAGTGCATAGGTCTGCGCCCAGGATCCAAACTGGTGAACCCCAGGCTGCTAAAGTGGAGGGTGCAAACTTAACCACTCTGCCACAGGGCCAACCCCTATTCATTCCTTTTTATTGCTGGATAATATTCCTTGGTATGAATGCGTCATAGTTTAACTAACCATTCACCTGTGAAGGACATCTGGATTGTTTCTAGGTTTTGCTATTATGAATAAAGCTGCTATGGACATTTGATTACAAGTTCTTTTGTGAAGTTATATTTTCATTTCTCTGGGATAAAATGCCCAAGTGCAATTGCTGAGTAGTCTTGATACCAGCCCTGATATCAGTTTCCCTACGTTAAACCCAGCATATATGGGGTTAAAACCAAAAGCACTCATCCCCTCCCCTGCTTCTCTAAGTTATGTAAGTTATGTAAATATCTGTTTTTTAAACTTTTATATCCCTGAACTTCAGAAGGCAAATAGAAGTTACAAATTGTTAGAGCCCAGGTGGCCTCATGCTAACATTTTGGCTAGTTACAGTCCTTTGAAGTTTTATTACAGGGAAACTAATATCCAGAGAATATCGAGAAGCTGAAGCTTCCCAGACCCCAATTCCTCGGCTTCCTAGCACCAGAATCCACTATCCATC